AGAGTTAAAATGCTTCATGGGATTGCAGTTCTTTCTCTTATTAAACCTGTGAAGTACACAGTCTTACACCTTTGTCTTTTTGTAAGATTTTCAAACATTATTTTGCTTCAAATCAAAGTTTGTAATGCTGATTAACTTGTAGCTGGTTGGTTTGGTTCATGGTTTGTGATTCAAAGACTATAATACAAAGACTCTATAATCCCTATGGGAATAACGAATGGGGAAAAATACTTCCAGAACCAAGGCCGCTGATAAAGTGGCCGGATCAGCTCAAAGCAGAGTACGTACTGTTGGGAGAGAGCAGTGAGCGCTCCGTGGAGTATCCGGACAGAGTGGACAGAGCTGACTCGGAGGTAGCTGACAGGATGGAGCCAGACATGCCGGACAGGCCCGATCCAGGGCTGGAGAAGCGCAGGGGTCCGAAGCCGTTACAGCCCTCCTCCAACCATGACGAGCCCGATTCTGGACTGTGTTTATTCAGAGCTCCTATAGAGTGTCCGTTACCGTTCACTGTGACACACATAAAGAGAAAAGCTTGATTTATTTATACAGTGCTTTCATAATACTCGATTTCAAAGCAACTTTACATAAAGTCATAGTGTCATGTCTAGAATGACTTGATGCTTTAACAGAACAATTCTTGTGCTGGGTGACATACAGTAGCTGGGTTTCCATCACCCTGCTTTTATGCGCATTTTGAAGTATCGCATCAGAATCGAGAGATGGAAACGCTGAATTTCGAATTAAAAATGCCTTAATTCGCGAAAAAAAGTTTACACGCTCGCTTGAGGTGGTTTTTGACTTGTGCAAAAAAGGGTTAATGTGAATAATGGGAGATAGAAATGCATTTTGCGATTAAATTCCTCCAAGTGCATCAAAAAAGTCATGTGACTTTGCACTATGGGACCGTTGTGACGGCATAACCTGACTAACCAGCGGACCGATCTCATTCCACAGCATCTGAAATGTTGTTTTGGTCATTTGGAAATGCACAAGCAAAGTCTGTCATCAAAGTATTTCTGTATAATTGCCTCCCTGAAATGTCTTACACGACTGCGTTCCCAAACAGCAGCATCTACCTCCGAAAGCAATGACCGCATTCATTGCGTTTCGTCTGCTCGCTCTGAGGCGCAAGTAATTTATTATATATGAAAATAATTATTTTCTCCTACTTTTCTTAGTGATTTATAGTGCCAGTTTATCAGTAAGTGACTATTTTGTTCTCTTTGACTTGTTGGATGAAAACGATGCTTGTTTGCAAATGTTTTATGCGATATTCCAGTTTTGCGCAAAAGTTAAATTCGCAACTTAGGATGGAAACCCGGCTAGTGATCATATAAATTATCCTCTGGATTTAGATCTGGCTATGTTGTTATTTGTTATTCTGTGTTCAAATGTAATTAAGAGACTTAAATATTCGTTTCGTATTAAGTGAGCATCTGTTTGTTCATAATTTAGCACCATGCCAGCTACCATGGCTTTATTAATAATGAGAAAGAAGTGAAAAATATAAAAAGTACATAAATAAATCATCTATACATACATGAGTAAAAGCGAAATTTATAAAATGTTTTTTAAGTTTAGCCTATCTAAAATCAAAAACTAAATCTGGCCTCACTTCATTAATAATCTTTTCTTAAGATTCAGCTGAATATTAAAGAAACTTGGAGGAGCTAAAACCATCACAGTCCATCAAAATATGCTTCAGAGATATTGGACTCTGGATGAAAATATGATTGGTTGTCATAAGTGAATATATCATTTGTTGAAAAAAGTCTGATACGAGTTTAACATTTTTCAAATTTAATCAGCAGTTATTTAAAGGGGTCATATGATGCGATTTAAATTTTTCCTTTCTCTTTGGAGTGTTACAAGCTCTTGGTGCATAAAGAAGATCTGTAAAGTTGCAAAAACTAAAGTCTCAAATCCAAAGAGATATTCTTTATAAAAGTTAAGTCAACCACTCCTACCTAAAATGGCTAGTTCTAGCACGCCCCCATATGTCTACGTCACGATGTGGGAAGATTTGCAAACGCCGCCCAAATGTTCACGCAAAAAAAGAAGGCGTAACTTTAATTCTTGCTGTTGCCGCCACTGCCATGTTGTGGAGTCGCTGTGTGTTTCATTGTGAAAGCGAAACTACTTTGTTTGGCCTTCCAAAAGAGGAC